TTACGCAAAAAGCTTTGTGAGTGATATCCATATTTCAGGAAGATATTACATGAGTCCTGCCACAAATCTCGCGTTTATGGACCTTTCAAGAAGCATGTTAATCATTAATAAGACGTTGTATAAATAATATAAAAGGAGATACTTGGAAGTACATGATATTAACATTTAAATTTAATTAGTTCTTATTACATTTCAGAAAGATTATGTTGGTATGACCAAGTGTTTTGTATTTAAGATAATCCAATTATCAGAAATTAACAAGTATCATTTGTTATTCCGAGAGACTGTTGCTTTTTTCTTCAAAAATAAATTATTTATTTTAGACGCTTCACTACATAATATTTATTTCGCTGACAACATCCTACCTTATTCTGTAGTTTCACAACACTAATCAAGTTACCTATCACTACAGTGGAAAGGCATTACGTAATTTATTTTTGAACAAATACTTCAAGGTTACAATTGAGACTACATATTATTTTACATAAAATGAACGGAAATTCCCAGGTTAGGTATTTCTACCTATATATTATACTTTTTATCTTACTCTAACGTTATCACAACTAAATAGCTGGTTTAACTCCCTAGACAAGCTGTTGTGATGAGTTAAATTAATGGTTGAAATTTTCACGCCCTATTATAAATTTGTTTAAGTACTGCTTATTAATTTCACGTGATATCTATTTCCTAACTCCTTATACACTTTTTTTATCATCTATTGTCTAATAATATTCTTTTTTAGTAGAAATAAATTTTACTGATTCTGTAAGCCTAATTTTAGAAGTATTATATCTGCAGAATAACTGTCTACTTGTTACCAACGTATAGTCTGTAAGTCTAACGCATAATACTGACTATATATTGGTTATATTATATACATGATGAGATAATTAATTTAATGAAACCGTCGATTTGACTTAAATATTGGGATTGGTAATTTTTCAACTACTAGAAAATGGGATTGGATATATTACAACTCAATTAAGAATGATGATTATACACAAAATCATCAATCAATATGTTGCTAATGCGATTACGAATGATTAATCAACATAATTGAAGGTTATAAATTAACCAATCATACATCTCAGTTCACTGTATCATTTGTGACTGTATTTAGTGCGAAGTAACCTAAAAATCCATTTGTTTTCTCATTTAGTTTATATTACATAAATATCACATAAATTACTAAAAAGAGTTGCCAGGTGATTGATTCCAACCAATAGGAAGCTTCATATTTCGGTTTCATGTTGATTGGCAAGACATGTCTCTAATCCTCAAGAATCTGATATTCTCTGTGGGATAAAGTCCGAGTTATGCATTACGATGATCAGTCTCCTCAGCAATGAAGCGATGCCGTGGTAATGAGTGTCAGCTAGTAGGAAATCTCAGCCAGTCAGCTACAACGAAGGACCAGGCACGTATGTGCATCGGCCAAAGTTGCCACACCTCATTAGCACAGCAAGATGAACAATGGATTCACAGAATTAGTTAATTCAGTGGTGGTAATATATAAAAGAAAGATTGCATATAAGGACATAGAACAGAAAGAAAGAATTAGTTCGTAGAAAGAAAAACATGGAATAATTTTAATCTTACAGTTTAAGGAAAGACAGAATGTGCATACACCTACGCCATTGTGATCGATTCTAAGCCATGTCACCAAGAGTCTCCAATCAAGTAGCGGTCTGCATCTACCAACATGGATCAGACCAGAAGTTAGTGACTTAACCAAAACGTGTCATCAGTTTATGAGGTCATTGACAGCCGAACTGTACCATGTCAATTGGTGTGTACTACTTCGTTGGGTCCGTATGATTGTCGTAACCAGTGTTTTAAGATAGTAAAATGGCTCGAAATAATTTGCAATCGCTCAAGGTCCATCCACCTTTTCTCATTCCCTAATTTCTGGGATTTTAAAATTATCATAATCCTAATACTTGTTTCTGTCCTCATAAATAGTGCACACCACATTACTATTATTTCAACACATAGATATTGGTATAAAGAGGCACCAAATACATATGCGCCACACAAATCTCATTCGATATGTGGGAGGGCTGTGATACTGCCCGGGTGCCCAGACCGAAGCAGGTACACCACATTACTACTGCCACTATTCTGCCATTTGGCCTGATATCATCTGTTTGTGTTTACGAAGTATGGCAGCATGAACCGATGTACATATGTACCAGGTTTTACCTTGTGAGCGACTGACTCCGGTTTAGAGGTTATGAACCACTTTTAGGTCACTAAAATTAGTTTTTTTTAGTTACTGTTTCCTTTCAAAATTCTTGATCTGCTAGACTTTAAGGAAGTGGAGTTAGAAATTTTCTCTTCAATAAAGCGGTTGAGAACCGATGGGAATTCTGTTTTATACGATCACTTAGGTTATTGACGCGTTTGCGGTATGTTTCTAATTAGATTGTACATTTGTGAATACCTTCTTGTATGGAAGTTCTTGAATTTAGTTGCACAGTTTGATTAAACTCTCATTAATATTCTAGTGGCTTAACACAAGGAGATTTAGAAATAATATTACATTCTGTGGTTTTATCAATTTTTGCGCTTGGATATGTTTATTCGGTTAGTAGCGAGTTTGCAAGTATCATTATCAACGTGTAACTTGATACTTTCTAATAGATTTAGGATAGATAGATTTTAAAAAATATAGACAAATTTATCAAATCTTATTAAATTTAAGCATTCTATGAATTAATTAACAATTCGAAATACTTCAGATAAAATCCTCATCACTTCGACACAGAAATTCGTATACAGATTAGGATATTTAGATTATGCTCACTTCGTGAAATCATGACTCATAACAAAGAACATCCGAACTACCTAAACAGACCTTCAAATAATCTTGTAGAACTAGGAAATCTACAAATTTATTCAGTAATATATTCCCAATTTTCAAGATAAGTAACTAGTGGAAAATTTTTATTTATGTCGTTACCGCTCTAGTCTCAATAGAAAGCTAAACGATCTATACAGCATGTATCATTTATTGGAATATCTACACATTCTATCCTTTTCACATCTCATACCACTAACAAATATTTGTGTAAAATTATATTTGAAATAATCTCAGCTACTGAATTTTAAATGATCCCAACGTTTCGTCAGTAGTCTTAACAGATGTTTGTTATTTCATAATATCGAATGTAAAACATACATAGTGGATCCGGGGTAGATGAGAATCTTACTCCTATAATATTGGGTTGGATGTGTTTGGGAAGGGATTGTTTTTTCTCTTGGAAGGTTTTTAATCATCCCAAGGAAGTGGATAGTAAATTTTGTTTAGATTTCGTAGCTGTATCACAAATAAACATATCGTTGATGCAGGTTATTCAGTGGATCTAAATGTGATTGAGCATGCAGTACAGTTGTAGATCTTAGTGTTGTGTGGTGGGTGTTATTCCTTTCATATATATACATATGTAGATTATCACGTCGCACCCCCCATATGTTGCTTGTCTTGCTTCGATTTTAGTCTAAGAATTATTTATGGTTTAAAGACTAGATATAATATGGTATCAATTTAGGCGTCGTGACTTACGAGTTATGGTGATACTAAGACCTACAAATTCCTAGTAACTGTATGTTCTATGACATCAGACCATATCATTACAATTTTTCGAGTTCGTTAAAGTTATATCTTGGTGTGAATCAAAATAGAAGAAAATTTAGTTGTATGAACCATCAAATACTAATCTTATGAACATAAAACTACTGATTAGTACACTCCCCTTCCATGAAATCACATGAATCTAATTTTATTTTCATGAGAAACAAGTAAACTATTTTTAGATCAATGTTTAAAGCTAAGTCACTTTCTAAATTCTTTTCACTAAGTTACAGGAGCAGTGTTTACGTCGATAAATCCTTGTAAGTTTATTTACCGTCACTTTTAGTAGAAGTTTCGGTTTCAATTTAAATATAATGTTCAGTACATTTTTTCACAATCTCACGTATTAATACTAATTACTAGTCTCTTACCTTTGGACAAAATTTTCTTTAACGTTAACATTGAATACTTTATATACCCACAGACGATGTTGCTTCCATATATAAAAGGTCTTCATGGCTTTAGTAAATTGATCTTTTTATAGTTTAATCATTGGAGACCATCGTATGAATGCTCATTTTCTGTTTAGGGTTGTGAACCGATCAATATTCGGTTTATGATAGTAGGAAGTCAACAATCTCCACAACCTTATACAGACAATATCATGTGCTCACTGATGACTAGTTTCGAGTGGTGGTTCTCGGAGTTCTAGTCAGAAGCTGTGACGAGTGGACTTCCACCGTGGACGCGCACTGCTGAGGAGTCCCATACCAGGATGAAACGGCCGTCTAACGATTCCAATTTTTCATTAGTGGTCTAAAATTTATCAGTTTACGATCTCAATAAAAAGATAACTGATTTTATTTGAAATAACTGACGATATAAAACATCTTTATTATTCTGAGTAGTGGTTGTTTACATTTGAGCTTCTTTTCTGTACCTACAGAACTCAGTTTCGATCGAATTGTTACTATTATAGATAATCCGAACTTGGCTAACTATATACCATCGGTTTATTCTAGCCATGTCATGTAACATAGTCTTTCTAAATAAGCTCCATAAGATATATTTACGGGCCAGAAATTGAGCATAGTCACACTTTGTCTTCACCTAAATCTATTCTATTTACCTGTTTCTTAGTATCTTCCTTCTTACTAATCTTAGCTTTTTTTTCGTTTTGTATCAATGCACTGAATTTATTTTTGAAAAAAAATCACGGTTGTTCTTCGTTTCTTGTTGTTCTAGCTACTTTCCACTCATTTCTCAGTACTGTGATTGGCATCGTTAGCATAGCCATCTAATTCTAGTACTCATATATTTATTTTCAGTTCTTTGTAAAAAGTATCAAGAGAAAAAGTGTCTGTATTGACGTCTTAGTAAATTCTAAGATATTTCAATGAATTAGTCGATTATTTTTTAGCGTTTATTCCGTATAATATGTACTAAAGTTATTCTTATGTTTGTTTTATTGGGCAAAAGAAGATTATGACTTCAGTTACTTAAGATAACAAAAGCATAGACAAAAAAAATTCTTAATTATTTTGTTAGGAAAACAAGATTATTTATCACTTTGAAATTGATTATTAACTGAAATGTGATGTTATCCGTGTTTTGATCGACACAAAAAAATGTACAAAAGAAGATGATTACTTCAATATTATGGGATAAATTTCTTAATCAGAGCTGAATTCACACAAATTCTACAGTGTTATTTGCTTTTTTTAATATTCAACATTGTTTTACTTATCCAGATTATTGAAAAAGTAGTTAACCTACAAGAAATTCAGAAAATAATACAGAATTTAGTTTGATAAAATCACAGATTTATAGAAATGTAATTGTATATTTAGGTATCCAGACTACATAATATTGGCATTGGTTGATCATGAAATATGAATCATTTGACCTGAAAACATTAAAATCAATTTCGCACTGTAATTTCAAATGATCTGCTAATTTTATTCAATGTTTTCTCGTGTTTTATTTATTGGTAAAAGGTAGATTGAGGCATACTTGATCATTCTTAAAAACTGTCGATTGCAATAGACCCTATATATATCTTTCCCGTTTATACTACTGATTTGGTATTTTAAATGATTCTCCTACTTTTGATCATTCTTATTCCATTTTGCCTTCCTCTTTTGCATGTTCCTCTTTGAAACTTTATACATTTTGAACAATTTGTCTATTTCTATTCATGAAATTTTAATTGAATTCTATATACTGGCGGAATTTCAGCACAGATTGTAAAATATTGCAACAAACTATTTTTGAACTATATTACCTGAACTTAGTTTATAGTATCTTTTTCATAATATTATTCATTATTTTGACCTTATTGCTTTTCATCCTGTCATTTCGTTGTCAATGCACTTATAAAGTATAATAATTTGAGCTAAGATATGACAAGTTCTAAGCTTTTTATGATTGATTGAATGATCATAGTGTACTGTTTGGATCTCCCGATGGTGTTTCCAGAAGCGAGAAAAATGGTTAAAACATTTCGACCAGTCAACATATACCACAAAGACTTATAAAAAACTAATGGATTATATATGTCACATTCTAATTTGCTGATTACTTACTCTTTTATTTAATTTAATTATACAAGCAGAAGTTTCCACAGGTAAAAGTCTGTCACACACAACCTATAAATAGTTCTGTTTCTCGTACATTAAGGGACCTGAGAGTAAAGCTTCAATTCTTACTTTTCCCTATTTTATTACTTTCGAGGCTCAAGTGTAGAAGTAGCCTGGTGATCTAAGAAGCGGATGCTAAGTCAGTATTAACCCTTTAAGTAGCAGACTTATCGTACACCAAATTCGACTGGTAAAATTTTCTTTCGAAATCGGGAAATAATTTGTTTACGGAACTATATATTCTCATCTACGTGTTATAAAAAAGAATATGCTTAGTAGTGAGAAATCTAAAACAGTCAAATAGTTGTTGATTATTTCTGAATTTTCAACCATAAGATATCTAGTTTGAATATCATCAGAATCATCGTAAATTTGTTAAACGGTTGGAAATTACATTTCTCATCTTTTGAAGCTTATTCAATAATAAAGGATTTATAATAGTTTTTATAACTATCCAAATGCGTTTATAATCATAATTATTATAATTAGTTGTGTGCAGTTCATCAATTTGTTTTGTTCCTTCCACCTCAATTTATCAAACATTTTCAGTTTAACAAATGAATGAAATCGAAGAATCCTAACTGGAATTTATTGTTGGGGTCGTTAAATTGCATAGCTTAAAATCGAATGTAGTTGCATTCATTCTTGACCAAAGTCTTAAATTTTACTGGCGTTTCATACTTGGTTTCTTGATTTCATTTCTTCTTTCGAACCAGATTTCTTACGTTTCAATTGATATTGTTCCCCTTTGACACATATCTGACTTGAGGTGTCGGAGTTTGAACCGATGTACTGTTGTGCTAGGTGCTACTTTGTCAGAGATTGACTAAGTCAACTAACATGAAAATAAATAAGAGTTTAGTGTATTTTTTCACGATAGTGTCATCAGAAATTTCACGTCCCATACAGATAAAACTTTTGTTATTATTAATAGTAGTATCACTACCATAAAATATTGAAGGAATATTTAATAATCACAATAATCAAATATCAATATGTATGAGACATGAAATAAAATAACGTATTTACTTCACGTTCGGTATCCTCAGGTAAATCAGTACAATGAATAGCATTCTTGACTTTGTTAACTCCAAATCTAGCTCTTAGTGTATCCGGTCGTAAGTACTTTGCGATTTCCTGTTGAAAAAGAAAAACACGACAAATAAACTTTCCAAAGAGATTTCTTCTGGAGAATTGTGATGGAATACCGAGAACCTAGTTTATACGCTTGTTGGAACTTATCACCAATACGTGCCTGTAAATTTTAAGTAATTGTAGATTTCCCAGGAGTTCAGGTCAACACTAAGTAAATGACATCATGAACGTTTCTACAATCTAAATAGTAATAAGTTTGCAAGCGTTCGAGTAGATTTGACAGTTCATATACATAACTAATTACTAAAAACAAATCAAAAACGGTTGAAATATGAATTGTCCATAAGTTTAATCAGGTTCTCATTGAGAAATAAAATTTGTTTATTTCATCACAGTGTATATTCTAAATTCACTATCCATTAGCCAGACTTGTTTCATTATCATAGGGTTACTTTAGAAATCAACAAAAGGTGAGTTATCTTGAAGTTAACTATTCATATTGCCGCCTCCAATCTCATAGATTGTTTTATCTGACTTTTCTTTACGGAAGGTTCACTTATAACTCTAGGTATCTATGATTTGAGATATATCTTGTTTCCTTTCTCATGTTGACTCGTTCTTCATCAAATATTTAGTCCATTATAGCAAACTTCAAGTGATTAAAACATTGAGTCATGCTTTTGACATAAAAATAATAAACTGTTAGTGAAAAAAATGTATTTAGAACTTGAATAAGTTGCAATTTCAGGAAATCGGTGATAGTGTTATTAATTAATGATTTTTTTCGTCAGGAATTAAGTCAGTTACTTTGAGGCAAAAATATATCTTAACCATCATTATTGGTAAGCACGAAATTACCTTTCTTTATAAACACACATGTCAGTTATAGACTAAAATTTTATCTGAGGCAAATTGAAAGACGCAGAGCTGAAACGATGAGTGAGTTGGGTCATATACTGTAAATTCTACCACATATAGTTGGTGTCAAAAAGTACAGAAGTGATAAATGGATTTATTAATCAACAATAAGAAAAATCCACTAAATAATATTCGCAAAAGAAAACTCACTGGGTTTATTGGTCCAGCAAACTCCCGGAAAGCTTGATGGACATTTACGTTGGGGTCCGGACTATCTATTTCTAATGCTATACAGGGTCCTGAAGACAGATGATCCAACATTTCTGGATATTCTTGTACTACGCCTTTATAGACCTCTAAAAAATCAGCTGAATCTGCTTTCGATAGACGATGCAAAATAGCTGCAGTCACATTAAATCCTTTTTCTGTAATTGCACTCCAAATTTTCCCAGTAAGACCTACAACATGAACAGAATTTGCAACCACTTAGTTAAGTTGTAAACATAAACGAATTCAAAGAGTTTATATACATGAATCGTGAAATGTAGCCTATCATTTTTCGCTTGAAATTGACTTTGGTTTACGGAACATTATTTTTTCATTTATCTTGCGGATTGTGATATAAAGAGTACTGAATTGAAAAGAAACCTAGCTATTCACCAGTCAAATTGGATTTAGGTCCACAAATAATATCTGATGAGTGTTTTCTTTTAATTGTGGATTATTATTTAAACTTGACAAGAGTTAGCTACAATATGCAACACAGATTTTGTCATCACCAAAATGTAAAACACGGTGACAATAAGCATTTAAAGACTGAAAATACTGAGCAATAAACTAAAGTGGTATAAAATCACATTTAAATGCGTTACTGATTTCGTTACTCGCTCAATTGTGAGACAATAAACCGGCATACGTAGTAATGCTATTATATATATCAACCCAGCTCTGAATAAATTTAACTTTCCAATGAATGGATTCATCCAAAGGTTATATATGATTCCATTAGTAGTGTACACCTAGAAATGAAATCCTTAAACCAGTATGACAAAGTGTGCGTTCGCCCTTTCAAAATTTTACGTAACAACAGTTACTTGACGTACTTTAGAGGTTCATGTTTTGATCATAAATATCTCACCAAAATATTTTTGTACTTGTGTCAAAAAACTTCAGAAACATTTGACTCCTAATTTATTGTATAAATATTTCTGTAAAATCCTCGAAAACAAGTCTTCACAATTCTTAGTGAGTAGTTTGGGCTAAAACAGTGTGTCACTTTAAACATTGGTTTTTCAAAGTTTAATGGTGTATAAACGGAAATTTAATACTTTTTCTTATCCTTGCTCAAAGGTGGTTGTCTTCTTGTTAATGATTTAATCACTCGCAACTAAAATGTAGTGGGGAAAGAAAAACGTATCTACATATTATGTACATGATTCGCAATCTAGTTAGTTCTTAACTAACTCCTTTCCTGGAATCCACGTTTCTTTCTCCACTGCGATTTAAAATATATTAACTTTACGTAAACAAATGAACTAAATTACCGTCAGATACCGCGTGTGGTCGTATAACGCACAATGTCGTGTTCTTTAGTAATGCTGCTCCATGAAAATTTGGTCCGCCAGGATTTCCAAATATTTTATGGGCTAGTTTTAATGAATCAGCGGTATTTGGAGTGATCATGAATAAATCAGGATTGCATAAAATGTTTTCACTAGTTTCTTTTGATCCATAAATGAATTCATATAGGAGTGAGCAAACATTTGTACCCATTACTTCCAATGCGATGAAATTCTTTCCAGTCAGTTCGCTTAATAATGTACTGAATAAAGCAAATATTTTGAAAAGTGCTTTCATTTGACATAAAGGTCAGTAGTTGTTTAAACAGATGGGTATTACTGTGGACCTCGAAATCTATCAAATCACTTTATTCATTAGAATGCACATGTTTATGCGTTTCATCCAACTAAGTACATAACTGTGAAGCTAATCAAATTGAAAAGATATGAGCCTAGGTAGGGTCGAAGAAATAAAGACAGCTGTACAGTAGACTAAATAATTCATTTTAAGCACTGGCTGACAGTTTTCAGTATCACTTCTATTTTACTATACATAACCATGTATTACCTATGGCTATCAAACACAACGTTTATTCAGAGACTACGGATAATATAACTGAGGTCAAGAAACTTGAGTTACTGACAAAGACACGAGGCAACCAAGCGTTTATTACGCGATTCTTGTGGCATCAATACTGGGACATATTTAAACAGCAACATGGTATATAATAATATAAACTCCAAGTCATTAACATACACTGCCTGAAAGTGATAGAAGCATAATCATGTATTAATCTATGTTCAAATCTAACTTGTAAATCGAGGTACTCAAGTTTTCAAACTGCATAACTGGAATGTTTTTTGGATCTATCTAAATGCTTACATCAGTTCAGTGTTTTACTATTATATCCAAAAATTTGTAGCTGACGACTCTTTTGCTATTATAGTTTTCATGCCTGAGTTTTTACAGTTATTGATTTCTCGTAATTCCGTGAACTGAAGCATCTTTAATTAGTAAATAAATGTGTAAAGTTCAAGTTTGTTTCCATCCCTCTGTTTGAGTAAGTTGTTAGTTTATGCTATCATACAGAAAAAACGTATAACATATTAACCCTTCAAAATAATACCAACGCAAAACAAAGCTCTTCAGCTAATAATAGTTAATCTAATGGGTTACATTATTAACCTCGTTTTAATGTAAATGCTTATTTTCTATTTTGACAGGATAACGTTAGTTAGTGTTCGGAATTATTTCAGAAGTTAATGCTGGTGTAACTGATCTAACAATTTAAGGTTCATACATCCATTTATTTTTGAGGGCTATCACATTTACTTTATTCCTCAGAGTTATCGCTAAAAACAGACTTCATAATATTTAAACACCAGTATTACTAGTGCAGTGTAGCATCCTTGAAATAAAATATACATAATAAGCAACATCACGCTGTAAGGAAATCATAGTAATCCGAATTGAGTAAAGTGGGTAATATAATACAATGTACTGACATGTAATATTCAAAATATCGCATATAATGCAACACGGACGTTTTGTAATAGTTATAATACCTTGGTTTTTATTTCAGTTATTCATGGTTTTATTGACAAATATTTTTAAACAGAGAATAATAACTTACATGTAGCCAAAGTATGGCACTTTCAAAGTCTTATTTTTGATAGAAGGTTAATCATCGTAAATATTTAGCAATACAGTGAAAATGGTTTTATCATGACATATATATATTGATTTAAAAGCCTACACTACTCTTATTCAAACAATAATGCATATTGTAGTTATAAAGTTAGATCAGAAAAATTATCAAACTTACGTCATTTTTGAAAGGCTCGTGTTGCTATCTAAAAGGGATTTTAATTCATCTGATATTGAACGCACCATTTTTAGATTAATGATTCGCAGTGATTTGTCCTCCAACATTCCGATTATTTCACCAGCCCTGGAAACAGAGGCCGGAGGGATAAAAACAACACATCTTAGCAACAAATATAATTTTAAAAAATGAATATAATATAATGAGGAACGACCAGTGATTCGTCGCGAACGTGACGGCTCGCTGATGGATCCTGTAGTCATTGAGAAAGATACTGTTTTGAGGCTACTCCAGCATCTCAAACCTGATAAGTCCAGTGGTCCTGACGATATTCATCCTAGGATTATGAAAGCCATATCAGATGAAATTGCTGTCCCATTAGCTATACTATTCGACATGTCTCTGAGACAGTCCAGACTTCCTAGAGACTGGAAAGACGCTATAATAAGTCCGGTGTATAAGGCTGGGGGTAGGGATTTAGTTAGTAACTATAGATCCGTTAGCTTAACCAGTGCATTTGTAAAACTGATGGAGAAAATCATTCGGATAGCTGTTATAAATTATGTTGAAGGGTATAATCTTTTCTCCAGGGAACAACATGGTTTTCGAAAAGGCCTATCTTGCTTGACAAATCTCATTGCACGAGAAGATTGGGCTGCGGCAAAGGATCGGAATGCTCCTGTGGATGTGATTTTCATAGATCTAAGTAAAGCCTTTGATAAGGTTTCTCACTCTGGTCTTAAATTCAAACTGAAACGTTTTAGAATCCATTATACAGTCGTCGATTGGATAAGTAACTTTCTCCATGACAGGAGACAAAGGGTAAGGGTTAATGGGGCTCTCTCCTCGTAGGTACCTGTAAAAAGTGGGGTTCCTCAAAGTACAATCCTGAGTCCTTTTCTCTTTTTACTTTATGTAAATGAATTGCCAACTGTAGCAAAATCATCCGTTCTACTCTTCACTGATGACATAAAGATTTGGAGACCCATACATAGCATGTCGGATAGGATAGTATTACAGGACGATCTTAGCTCGTTGGTGGCATGGTTAGATAGGTGGTCACTAGAAGTACATCCTAATAACAGTGTAGTGATGCAGTTAAATAACTCTGATGAATCGTATGACTATACACTACGTTGATTCGTGCTACCCAAAGTAAGAAACTATAAAGATTTAGGAGTCATATTAAGCAATGATCTCAAAACGACTAGTCACTGTAAGGCTGCTGCTGCGAAAGGCTATAGGATATTATGGTCAATTCGTAGGTCTTTCCAGTACTTAGATGATGAAATGTTTAGATTACTATACCCGATTTATGTGCGACCACATTTAGAATACGGATTCAAGCAGCGTGTCCTTGTTTCAAATATGAAGCAGATATGCTAAAAAGAGTCCAACGACGAGCTAGTAAGATGGTACAAGGTCTATCTGGCCTAACTTATGAAGACAGACTGAGACACCTTAACTTATTTCCGTTATCCTACCGTGAAATAAGGGGAGATCTAATATTGGCCTATCGTATACTGAACGATGAACTTGGTATTAACATGTCTTATCTTTTGCTTCCGTCTAGAACCGATCATTTGAGAGGACATTCGAAGAAAGTTCAAAAACCGAGATCGAACCGTTTACGCTTGGAGTTCCGTTTCTCGCACCGAGTAGTGAATTACTGGATATCTCTACCGGAACACATAATATCAGCACCATTTGTTAATATATTCAAAAAGGAGATTGGACCTCCACAGTATTACAAACTGCAAGGATTAATATAGGTCGACAGACCTCCTATCCTTATTACTTAAGACTTTCTGAACGACTTTTAGATTAATGATTCGCAGTGATTTGTCCTCCAACATCCCGATTATTTCACCAGCCCTGGAAACAGAGGCCGGAGGGATAAAAACAACACATCTTAGCAACAAATATAATTTAAAAAATGAATATTTGCCTTTCTGAACGACTTAAAAATTCACGTTTAGTGAACTCATCTCCATAGTCCACAATCTTAAGAGAGCGAGAAAGTATATTGACTGTACTGCCCAGATAAAAGTCAGATAGTTTCAACCCTTCAATCCTAGTAGGTTTAAGAAAAAGCCTATTAGTTTTCTCTTCATGCTTCAGGAGAAATAAAGAAATCATTGATGATTACCATTTCAACGGAAGAAATTTTCATATGATATATCAGTTGAAATCTTTTGATCAAAGATGATATCACATCAAACCATTCAACCAAGAAGCAGTATGATGGGTCGGTTTGACTCTAAAGATATTGATAAATATATAAGTACTTACCATACTCTGTAGTGTCTAATCTTTGATATGTTTTTGGCTAATCTGAAAATACTTTACTTTCTGGGGGAGTTAAGGAGCAATGTTCAGAGAAATCTGGAAAAAACGAAGGTGAAAAGTTTAGTCGACGACTTAGTAAGATCATAGGGTGCACTGACATTGAAAAATGAAAACCACGGACAACAATAAAATATAATACAAGTATGGAGCTAGAACAATCTGCTAGTCGAGAGTAAAATCTGAAGGAATAATATTTTACCACGTTACTGTTCGTTTTTTAAAATTAGTGCAATTAATCGTCTAAGTGATAAAACTAAATTTAGTCAGTCAAACAATCGTATGTGCCTTCGAATATAATTAGATAACACACGACACAGGAGTGTTAATTGTGGCAAAACTAACAACAAATAGACATTTTGATAAAATGAGGTATCCGGTCTCTAAAGCTTAGAACTTCCAGCGAGTTTGTCTGAACTTTCTGGAACATTTCATCAAACGTCTCTAACCACTGACTGGATGTACACAAAGTAGTATCTCTTTGCTTATATGGATCAGTTTAATTAACAGTCTCGTCGTTTCAACGTGATGCGGTTATCCTATCTATAAGATCTTACGCGGAAGTAATATCGCAGGCTATACTGATTCGTCCTATGTGATCCTCAGCATTATGATGTTCAGCGCTTCTGATGAACTTATTTGAACTGTAGACGGAAAAATGTATTTAGTGTGAACTGAGGTGCGTTGCACAGAATGACAGTGCCTGCAAAGTTGACACATGCTATACAAATTGTTTATTCTCCTGTTCATCATTGCTAAACTAGACCCTGTGTTAGATGTTGGATGTGAATTTTCTCAGTTATCTTGTGTTCAACTTCAATAATCGTGTGGTTGGGAGCCGGTACTATTTTACGATTTAATCAGTCGGGATACACGTGCGATGAGTTCATATAAAACCGGTCTCACTCTGCAGCACTCGATCGATGTCTTCATCTAACCCACCCAGTACACATGTTTTCATACGTTGTGGCTTATTATGCAGACGCCAGAAGACTGTATACGGAATACCTTTTAATGCTGTCCATCAAGAAATTAATTAATTAAAGTCAACAAAAGCATTTCTTTCCCAGGACGGCTCCAAGTGAGTCATCCGAAGTCTTTGATATTGATGTAGACCTCAATTAGTTTTACTGAACACATCTGTGGGAGTTCGGTATCCCGTCTATACAACAGTTATGTATGTCATGCTGTAGATCTCTCATAAAAAATAACCAGATTAGCCCATAAACCTCTCGACACATTGACTATCTACAAAAAATATTTTTGAACCGCTTAATCTCTGACTTCTGGTACTAATGAAGTTCGAATTCTCTACCAAAAGGCTGTTACGAATAACGGTGCTGTCAAGAAATAAATATCCATGACATCTTTAGTTTCGTCGTGAAAGTTGTCTTTACTAGAATTAAACTCAACACTGGTTCATAAGTTCGGCAGTCGATATGACGAGCAATCAGAAGGAAGAGCGAACGTCCATTTTCACCATTTTGTGCACGGTGTTTTCCGGCTGGCTTTATAGGATCGCGGCAGTGTTTCGTCTTCTCTTTGTAAGTCTCTTAATTCATGTGATGACCTAACTGCTTGTTAAATTCTTCGAATATGTATATTTCTCGATTTCTATAGCTGCTACTACAACTACTAACGCTAGTAATACGCAGGTCAGTGTATTCCGTCTGAGATTCTCACATGTTTCATGTGACAAAATTTTAATTCGATTTGTTTTGAGTAGCTTTTGGTGGACATCTAAGACCAGTAGGATATTACCTGCCACATAATAGATTCGTCTGAGATGATCCACAATCATCCATGCGTGAAAACGTATCCAGCAGAAGTCTCAGTTGACCTGTTCCGGAAGTCCATTTGTAGCGAATAAAAAAAACGGCTCAAGGTTACCGTAGCGTGTGACAACTCAGAGACTTCAGCTTTACTCAGTTTGAATTAGAATTTCGAAAACGTTTATACTCTTTCATTCATTATTACGTCCTGAAAAGCTGCTGTTTTTGACAATTCTCTAAACAGTCAGTACTTTATACATAAATATATTTCATTCCTAGTGAACCACATGCTAAGCTGACACTCCTGTTATAAATTTCAAGTAATCAATAAAGGCTAACCGCTTAGCGTGCATTTAGTGTGCTAGCATTTTACACAAATTTCTAAAGTGTTATATGTTCTAATTTAGAAGAATAAAACTACTAAATTATATTTGGCAAGTACATACTAATAAACTGTAAAGACAGGTTTGAAAGGACTATCGACGCATGTTCATTTGGAAGCCAAGCAAACGCGTATATCGTTGTAGTGTACTCTGTCCTTAGTTTACAAGTACTCCATCATAGACATTGCTCACATGTCAGGGGGTGCACGAGTTAGCAGATGTGAAATTAGGTGCAGAGCATTCCATTAAGGTGATAACCTTACCTTAATAGTATATGTAATAGCGTATCTTTCTACCAGCTACCGTGGAGCACCATGATTGTCGGAGTAGGTTGTATGAAGGCTAAGGGCACAACGAGTTGTTTCCTTCAGTAATCTATACACGAATCCACATTTGTAGGTTTGTAGTGGTATCGGACCTTAACCACACAACCTTCGAAGACAAGTATGTTAGACCGTAATTCCATAGATTCTTCACAAAAAGAAAACGCGTAGTATATTACTATTAGGCGTCACTTATTACAAGTGAACTAGCTACCACGGAGTTCGTAGTTCATGGATTTCTTACGACAGTTAACTTGATAAATAAATGAAGGATCAGATTTACAAAATTACTAGAAGACATTTTTCATCAATAAATGAATATCTGATCAGCATTTATACCAGGTTTATATTTGCAACTTTCAGATTGATAATGCTGAGATGTTATGGCTGTTATTTTTTCTCAAAGTGAACGGTGAAACAGGCAAACCATAAAAGGTAGAAACCGTCGTGACGTTCATAATATACGTTCAGCCTGCTGTTATGAACTTTGGATAAGATAGTCATGAGGACCCCAAACAAGTAGTCTGCATCTACAAACATGGCTTAAACTAGAATTTACTGACTTCAAGCACTGATGCCACGTTTTGGTTTGGTCGCCCCTAATTTTTTCTATCTGTCTTCAACACTAGTCAGCATTGCGGGTCGTGGTACTCGGTGTTTAGGAATACGCAACACGTGGCCCAACCATCTCAGTCGATGAGGATTCACAGCTTCATCATCTGATTTACCATCATTCCCTAATACTCTACTTCTAAGCGATCAACAAAAATCTCAGTTACCGATATAGAATAAACGAACTATGTTAGTACTACATTAATCAATGTGAAAGTCCGATTGTTTGCTAACCAACATATTTACATTTATAAAATGAATACTTTAATAAACATAATACTGTTCATTACAGGTGATGTTGATAATAGTAACAAATCTATCCATATTTTATAAAAAATGGACAACATACGTAATAATAATCGGTGGAGGTTTTTCAGATTTTAGGATTCTTAAAAAGAAAAAAACTTTCTACAATATCTTATTGTATAATGATGTTATCATTTCATTAAATAGAAGTATTTGTATATTTAGAATTTACAATAAAATTTCTAGTAAATACATACCCAGTGAGAAGTGAGTTGTGATTTTCTTTCCTAGTTTGGAAGTTTTCATCAATGCTCAGCTAAAATCCTATACAGAATCATATTCAACTATTATGAATTAATATTATTTACGCTTAAATTGTACAAATTCCCTACACTAATCATCTTAGTAAACATTAATTGCTATGTATCACAGTAATAATACCTCTTTAGATTTTCACTTATTCCTCAAACTAGTTTATTGAAAAACTAATTAAGTAGAATATATATATATATATATATATATATATATATATATATATATTTCGATTGTTACATGGAATGAATGTTTATTTCACAGTACATTATGGATTTACATCTTATATCCGGTTAGTAATATGATGAAATATTCGACTACTAGTAATAACTACTTATAATATTCAAAATTGATGTAAACTATTTATTCAATCTATACACCCCTTTGTTGTTGTTGTGCATTACAAACGTTAGATATTAAAATACTACATATCTAGAATTAGTTCCTTGAAAAAAAACACTTATAAAAGAGTCATAGACAGATATATTTAATATTGGTATACAACTATTATAGTTATTCATTATTAAGTTGTGATAAAATGAAGAGATTATTCCAAAATTTGTTATTATGCATATTATACTGTATGTATTTAAACTTCTGTTATGCTGATTCACATGGTGAAAAATTGAGTAAATCTGAGTTTGATATATGTGTTCAAGAATGTGGTAATCAATATGAAGAATGTTCTAAAGCAATACGTGAATTATGGAGAAATTTTCAAAAAAATAAAAAACAAATTATGAAAGTTATGAATAGTTGTTGTTTACGTGGTCAAGGTGATCATTCACAACCATCAACATTAAGTTTTGCTACATGTGTACGTGATAGATGTGGTGCAGAATTATGGGGGTAAGTGATTAAAATGATTCTTTTTTCCATATTTTACAAATATGTTCAAATAAAGGAATCAATTTTATTGGTTTCATTATATGTTATAATCTATTACACATTGTTATTCAATTGTAATACTAAAATCAATTTATCTCTTCTTATTCAAGTTTACTTATATGATCCACTTACACAATAGATTTCTTTCACTCAGTTATTGTCTATTTCAATAACATTTTCATCGTCATTTGACTTTAATAGTAAAGTTAATGTGGTTAAATGAAATTTATATTGGTGCTATAAATGTTCATAATAGCTGTCGATGAAAGTAATACAAGCTACATTAAAAAGTATGCCATAGATTTATATATGATAGTCTTAATATAGAGCAGTGTTATTATTTTTTAATAATTTTGGGGAACGAAGTTTTGATAAATTGCTTCTAAAATCAAAGTATCCTGTTTCATATAGGTAGTCTTGGTATCCATAAGAATCAGATTGTTCAAACAATTAATAGAAACACAGAGATACTAAATAAGATGATTATTTTTTTTATAGCAATGTAAGAGTGTTTACCAAGACTAAGTGTTTAGATATGAATAAAAGTAAGTTCTAATGTTATGCTTTAAACGTATGTAAGTTTTTTTTAAAATGTAAGTGAATGGAATATCAAGGCGACCGCTCCATCATACACTAATAATTTCAGTTAGGAATATGAATAAAGTAGAAGTTCACACTCTTAGAATTTATGAGTCGTGAAAAGGATGACATGATTTTCAGCATTATTATAATATTATTATTATATTACGGAGGCATGACTTCGTTTTTATAGTATTTGTAATATCAAGAGTTTTGTTAGAATTTCGTTCTCTGAGTTGGGTAATCTAATTATGAAATAACCGTTGCTTTCTGAACGATAATGTCAGCACAAATGTTAAATAGAAAGTATATGACTGTTTACATGAAACCAATAAGAAATAAAGGAATAATCCGCTGCATGTACGAAAGCTATGGTAGACATTATGAAGTAAGAATATAAGAGAGCTCATAACTAGGACTGTTTTATTGTGACTAATATTTATTAAATATATTCATAGAACGTGTAAATTTCTGTGAGAAAATTAGATAAACTATTTTAAAATGTTTCTTATTCAGTTCAATAAATTTTGAATTCATTGCCATTTATTATCTGCATGTATATATATATATATATATATATATATATATATATATATATATATATATATATATATATATATATATATAATGATAATTGTAGGAAGAAACATTTAGCCTGAATAAAAATTAATTTTATGAACACTCTAGTTTAATAAATATCAGCCACTCACTAGTAATTTTTCTTGCTAAGAAATTTCTTAACTTTATAGTTCAAAATAATGAGTTATGGCTTTAAACAAGGAAAACTTTTCGTGTATTGGTGACCATCGATGATACTAGATGATAATCTTTCTCTATCACAAATAGATTACATTGCAAAGTGATGACTGTTCAGTAGATATTCGATGATGTCTTTATCGAGAGATATGAATATAATTTGGTTACAATTTTGTGTCAAGTTAAGCTGTTGATAAGATTCAAGTCAGAATAAAAGCAACTGGCTAGCATAATGTACTTTTTGTATTCTTCTTTTTGATCTCCATCTGTGTACATCCTGATACTACCAATATTTTAAGGTCCTAACTTTTATATTAAAACCAGATGTTTCTACGATAAACTGAATATTAGTTCCAATTAAAACAATCCTGAAAGGGGACAAATATAAAAAATGGAATGTTTCGATACAGAAAACTGATCAAATTAATTTTGTAATAAGTAGTCTGCATGGCTAAAAAGTCTTTGAGATACAATCAATGACTTTAATTATGTTACTTTCAGAAATGAACGACTTCAAAAACTTAATCAGTAGCCAAAATCTGTTTTTTTACCATAATAAATGTATGAATCATATTTTTTAAAGTTTAAAACCATTTGAAGATTCCCACTATTTCATGAACAAGGTTTAGTTGGATTTATATAGTAGTTGAAATACTTTTTTTGTTCTAATTTTTCAAAGTATAGAAAATGTTGTATCATAACATAACGTTTTGAATGGTTTACTCTACCAGTGAATTAGTGAAGAAGTCAATCATTAGATTATAATGACGGCGGAACATAGATAAGTGAAACTGTTCATTTGGAACACAATTATCTTAGATTTTTACTTAGTTACTAGTATTTTAAACAATTTAATAAATTTGTGGGTGTCATTACCAAGGTTTGATAATTTCGAATAAATTGAGCATTGGGTTGATTGTTATTTTTATTTATAATTTAATAAATTGTTCAGTGAATAAACGAATCCTAATATGATTGATATAAATACCTTGGGTACTGGGTAGGAGTAAAATGTTTATTGAGGTTCAGTAATTGTACATATCTACATCTTGGTCTTGTTTTCACTGTAAAAAACAAATCCAGTAAACATCAACTCAAATTCTAGTGTGTTATTCATTGGATTATTAAGTCAGCATGCTATCACTTGTTCAATAAGCATGATATATTTACATATTATTCATTAAAAGGTGTCCATTATTCTATAGTGGATATTCAAAAGTTTAATAGTGAATTTCTTCTTATAAAACCAGGTAATATATCAAGCAGCCAATTTATAAACAAAGATTGACTACATAAGTTCTGAATGTAAACTAATGATAATCATAATCATAAAAATTATAAATAATCTATTACTTATCTATAAAAATGAATAAATGGATAGATAAATGGAAGCAACCTTTTGTGAAACCATGAGAAATATACATCATTATTCGAAGCGTATAGCAAAAACACATGTCATTTATTGTTTCATTAGATATTGCTCTAACAGAGTGTATTCATAACTCCACATATGGTCAAATTTCGAACCAAAAGGTTTCTCAGCCAGAACGTCACCTTTATATCAGTGAGTTAGGAAACAATAGCTTACTTCTTCAACTTCAATTAATTCGCGATAGCGTAAGACAATCATCTAATGATATTGGTGATATACCTCTCATGGTTGGATTCAAGTGATAATGATATCTCAAACAACTCTTTAATGTTTCCTGATTTTAAAGGGTCCTCTTGTCTGCAATGAAATTTATCTTCAAATAACAATTCTGGATGCCTCACATAGCAGACAGAAAAAAATCGGCATTTTAACTGCACAAAAATAAGGTAGTAAGTCTAAACTTATATAGTTCTTGAGAAAGTGTCTGGGCATACTTACGATAGAGAGGTGGGAGAATTCTGGTTAGGAAATGAGCTGAAACTTTCTATGGTATGGATCTACGAATGTTATAACGATATTTTGAATTGTGATATTCATGTCATGGATAAGCTTGTTGTTCATCGTTAGCACGAAGACAAAAAATTATCGAAACTGAGAACTCAGATACAAAATCTCAACTTAGTGGTCAGAATATGTTGTGCTTGCTGCAAGACCCAATAGTCGCAGGTTCGATACTCCGTAGTGTTGTGGGTGATAAATTATAATTATGATAAATAATACCTCAAAACGCTTGTTTGATAACATACTTCTGAAAAAATCAGAATAAATTCTGATATCAGCTTGATTTGTCGCTAACTGACCTTAATTAGGATACAATTGAAAACCATGAAGTACTAGATAGATGTTTCGTCGTAGTATGGTGTTTCTCAGTAGTGCACACCCATAACCTGAGTAGAATGAGAAACCAACCATTAGATTGGCATCCTGTGTTATATATTTGGCCATCATCTAATGATATTAGTGAAGACTTCACTCTCGATATCTCCACTGACACATCCCAAAGTAAGTCATTGAACAGCTTACGAATATCGTATTTATGTAAGGATCCCTTGGAAACTAATTTAATTCGCAAGTATTAAGGTCGGACCGACGATAATAGAGTAATAATAATTCCTGGTTTTTAATAGTAACTAGACTATACTTAAAGGGTGACGAGTACTACTCAAAGAATAACTAACCAAATCCAATTCTTTATCTCTCTCAAATAACGATTGTACAAGATTTCAGATTATAATATCTTTACTACTATTTCGTCATCTCTTTTCGATAGATGTAACATTAAGAAACGTCATAGTGGTTTTCTAACTGAACAAGAAATTGAATATATCAAACAAAAAGAATCTCGCCAAAAAAAGAAAAATTTCACAGTAAAGTAAAAGAATCCTCAAATAGAAAAGAAAACAATATGTAATGACTTTCAGTTAATAAATACATTCTAATTGTAACTGTAATATTTCCATTTTTCAATTACAATATTATTCGATGCATAAATTTGCAGAAAATATGTATTTACTTTTGCATTAAACAAAAATAGAAAACTGTTATCATTTCTATTTTTTACTAATCGTTAATGTCGCTTATTTTCTTGTTAGTTACATGTGTTTCGTCAAGAAAGCCTTGTGAATAACCCATTCCCATCAACATATTATGTATGAAAAGAAACTAGAAGAATTAGAGTCAACAATCCATGCTTTTGTGTTCATAAGAAATTTATGATATCTTTATCTCTCCCTTGGCGTTAATAAATGATTTTATTTCTATTTTTACGGCAAGAATGTAATTTATAGACGAACCAATCAGATTTAGGATAACCGGTCTTGGATTTTGGCGCGAAATTCGTTCACCCATTCGTCTGAATAGTGTCTTGGCATTTTAGTTGATGTCAAATCGTGATAAAAACCATAAATCTAATTCTTAACTTTAATCATCAACTGTAAATCATTGTCTCTATTCTATTAACTGTTTTAAAACCTTCATTTAGCCCTATTAAGTAGGTAGACACTCTCAAGGTCACTTTGGCGTCACTCAAAAGTCGTCTATAAATTATAGTCTCACCAAATTTTCTAGCGCAGTATAAAATGTTGAATATATAACTTTATCTAAATTATCAGATAATACTATCTATACATATGTCGAATTCATTATCTAAAACTTAATAATGGGTATTATGGAAAAATTATTTGTGTATTATTAGTTCGAGTTTTTAATATACTTAAGACAAGTACGTCTGAATTTAAGCTATCGACAGGAAATCAGTAAAATTGGAATTTCACGAAAGTTGTTTAATAAATATACTAATTATCAAATAAAACGATTTCAAGATGGTAATTGGAAATGGTATAGTAATCTGAACTGTTTAATCAAATCATGTTCATCCACTAATACAATATGACAAATGTGTTTAGTTAATATACTAGAAACTTGTATTCATTATAAGATGATTGAAGATAGCTATCATAAAGTTATACGCCTTAACTAACTAATCGTTGATAACATTTGGCGACAAGTCTTTTAAACTCATGGAGTTCAATGATGTTAGTGTATAGCTAGCAACCACGTAGAATTATTTCTTAGTTTGAGTTCATAGTATGATTTGTAAGGTTTGAAATTCACGGTTTACAGACTTCAAAAAAGCTTTAACCATTGTTTATTATCAATCTGTAACATCAAGTAAACGCTTGTTTGTTTTTTAAAGAAACATGCTACAATCAACAAAGTGCTACAAAGTGAACTATCTGTTTTATTCTAAAACTACTTGCGAAACGTATATTACAAAAGAAGAACAACAAATATTACTTTTTATCATTAGTTTTATCTAAACAATTATGAAAACAAGCAAACATTTGAATAATGTAAACACACGTTTATTTATACAGAATAGGCAGGAAATACAATCAGAATCAATTGTATGATAAGTTCTTTGAAGTCATCGAAATATTCCATTTCAGTCATTCTTTTCGTAGACTGATTACATATTACTAAAACAGAAAGAAGAAGTGTAGAATTATAAACTTATTTCTCTTCGAACAAAATAATGCTAAACATGGAATCGATAGAAAGAAGATATAGTGTTTAATATATGATTCGTGAAGACGTTATAATATTAGTACTGTAACACAGATTCAGTTAGCCCACTGATCGATCGAGAAGCAGATGGGACCAGAATAAGCGTGTATTATGAGAAAAGTACAAAGAGTAAACGTAAATATCACAATATAGATATGTACTATATCAAATATGTTTGTCTGTACTCATTGGTCAACTACAGGATAATCAGGATGGACAAAATAATAAAAAAATTAGTTCAAACTGAAGATGGTTGTTCTTATTTTTAAAATGATATCAACCAAAAAAACATTGTTAATCATGATTGTAATAATCAAGTAGTTTCATACTATCAACCGATCAATCTCCTATATTTACTTAAAAGTTTGTTTTAATCTGCTTACTTATTAATTAATGCTAAATAGTGTAAAAAATCTCATTCTAAAAGTTGGTTGGCAAAACAAGTAACTTATGGTTTATTAAATTATACAAATGCAGATGTAATTAACACAAGAATAGAGTTAAAGATGACATAGATCTACAACTATTAGTAGTGAACATCAAGTGCTTAAAACCTTTTGTTAATTATGATTTTATATATTGTAACATTGAGGTAGTATTTTCACATCGAAATAGTTTTTACTATTGTCATACGAATTCGTTAGACAAAAAAATTATAATACAAGTTTACAGTTAAGATTATTTACATATATGTACATTCTAGAGCTCCGCCTGTAGCCATTCAAATGATACTGCGGGTTTCAGGCCTAGATAAAAGAGGAAGATTGAACATAGAGTTAGCAACCCCGTACCATATAAGAAAGATTTACTAAAAATATGCTAAAAAGAAAACAATCAAATCATTTAAAATAAGCCTTGAGAGTTGAAGAATCTTCATTTAGAATAGTGAAGCCTCATGGTGAAAGCCGAGATTCTTCGGAAATCACGAGGCCGATGCCACTTCTGAAGATTACAGGAACAAACAATATCGGTATATGGAATGTCCGGACAACGTAGAAGACTAAGGGAACCAATCAAATAGCTACGGAGATGAGGATATACAAATTGGCTTCTGGAGAGATACTACTGTACTTTAGTCATGAAGTGAATGCCTCACACACACAAGAAGTTATGCTGACACTATCCAAAGAAGTACGAAAAGCACTTAAGGACGGGAATGTCGTGGATTCAGAAACCTCAAAGCATTCTTCAAAACAAAGAAGGAGGAGATCACGACGAATTTCACGTAGCGATATGCACTCAACAGCGATGGACATGAAGACAATAAAAATCAGTTTAATGGGAGGGTGCAATCAATCAAAGAGAAGTGCTGAGGAAAAGACATGTCTATCCCGATGGGAGACCTAAACATCAAAGTTGGGATGTACAACAGCGAGTATGAAGATGTCATGAGACGACATAGAGTGTGAGAAAGCAATGAGAACGTTGATATATATGCAAATTTATATGCCTTCAACAAATTGTTTATGAATAACTCTATCTTCCCTCACAAACTCACACATAAATTTACATCGGTCCCATCGAATCACACTACAAGGAGCCAGATAGACTACATCTGCATGAATAGAAATTTCAGAGGATCCATGGAGGACGTTAGGGCAAGGAGAGGAGCAGATGCAACCTCAGATCACCACCTGATTGTGGTAAAGATTGAACTTAAAATAAAGAGGTAATGGACAAATGGACAAACAACATTGCAAAAGTTTAATACAGTCATCCTTCCAGATACTGACAAAGTAAACGAACTCAAGATAGCTCCTTGCAACAAGCTCTGAGCTTTATAAGACCTACTCAAAGGAGAGGAAACTACTATAGAGAATAAGTGGAAGCGAACTAAACAAGCACTAACTTCAATTAGTCAGGAGGTTCTGTGCCGCAAGAAGCATCATCATAAGGAATGGATCTCTACCAAAACCTTGAACAGTATTCAAGAAAGGAAGGACAAAAAACAGCAATTAACGTCAACCAAACAAGAACAGAGAAAGTAAAGGCACGGACCGAATTTACAGAAGCAAACAAGAGAACGAAGAGGAGCATCAGAGCGGACAAGCGGAAATAAATGTAAGACCTAGGGACGACAGCGGAAAAAGCCGCAAGAGAAGGAAGCATGAGGCAACTATATGGTGGAACGAAAAAACTGGAAGGGAAATACAGCAAACTAGGGCGACCAGTTAGGAATAAAGAAAGCGAGTGTTATGACTTATCCCCCCTGTCAATCATTACGTGACAAAATCGTTGATCATAATACCGGCTTCTGTGACTTTGTCCCTGTGTTATACCAATGATACGTCACCCAGCACTAGCACCGTTGATTCAACTCTGAATCCTTGTTCATCCTCAATATAGTGGACTTTCGCCTAGCCCTGCCCATTTAGTCCAGAACACAACGTCCACCTCCATTCTATGAATAATATATTTCAAACATACTCAGTTTATATGCAAGCAGATTAGACCGCATCACACTATACAAAAATAAGTTATACAAGATCAAACAAAGTGGCTGTGAGTATGGGAGATTGTAACTAATAGAATGTGAATAAGTTAAGAGTGGTAAATCGTATAATAGTAGACAATGGGTCAAATAAAAACTTGTGGTAAAAGGAATATATACATATATACCAGCTAAACCATTGAAGTCATACATAGAAGTAACTGCAAACATACTCCACATTTTATTCAGATAGATTTGGGAAATAGAACAAGTGTCGAAAGACTAGAAAAAAGGATACCTCATCAATATACCAAAGAAAGGTCTCAGAAACTGTGAGAAATACAGAGGCATCACATCACTAATAGTACCAGGGAAAAGTTCTCAACAGTGTTGTTGAACTGAATGAAAGATTAAGTAGACACCCAACTTCGTGATCAACAGACTGGCTTTCGTTAGGATTGATCGTGTACGAACCAAATAGCGACACTATGCATCATTGTTGAGCAATCAATTGAATGTAATTCCTCACCACACATCAAATCCCTTGATCATGAAAAGGTGTTCGACAGTGTGGATAGGAGAACATTATGAGACGTTTTTCGACATGATGGTGTACCTGACAAGATTGTCACAATCATAGGGATTTTTTATGAAGGACTGTATCACAAAGTCCTGAATAGAGGGCGGCTCATAAATGTATTCCAAGTGGAGACCGGTGTTAGACAACGGTGTTTACTCTCCCTCGTTTTTTCCTTCTATAGGTCGGATAGATTATGAAGATCTCTATATCTGACGGTTATTATGCAAAACCATGGACAGGTTGAATGCAGCTAGACGATCTGGACTTCGCAGATGGCCTGGATCTCCCATCCTACACACACGAACACATACAGATCAAAACAACCAGTGCAGTAGCGGCTTCCAAATCAGTAGGCCTCAACATACACAAGGGAAAAAGTAAGATCCTCAAATAAAACAAGAACACCAACGCAATCACACTTGGTGGAGAAACTCCGGAAGAGCTGGAAACGTTCACATAGCTGGTCAGCATCATCGATAAACAAGAACAATCTTATGCAGATGTAAGGGAAAGGATTGGACAGTCATGTGTAATGATCCCATATATTCTTTAATTGGAAAAAATGGGACTCAAAACAAATATCAGCCAACATCAAAGTTAGAATCGTCAATACGAACGTCAAAACAGTTCTACTGTACGAAGCTGAAACTTGGAGAACTATTACGACCATCACCATAAAGTACAAGTATTTACAAACAGTTATCTACGCCAGATACTCAATATCTGTTAGCCAGATACCATCGTCAACAATCTACTATGGTAAAGAACAAACCAACTTCCAGCTGAAGAGGGAAGTAAGGGAAGAGGCCGAAGGAGGGTAGGAAATACAAGGTTGATATCATCGAACTGCATCACGAGGCGAGCCCTTACTCGGAATCCTGAAAGCAAAAGATAAGGAGGAAAGCTCAGACACACGTTACTTCGGAAATGGGAGGCAGACGTAAAAAGAATCAATGCCAGTTGGAAACGACTGGGAAGGAAAGTCAAGGACAAAGTTTGATGGGGAATACTGGTGGGAAGCCTATGGTTCTACACAAGGGGTAACAAGCGTAAGTAATTAAATCTTGATGGTGTACGAGATTAGAAATTGCTTTTAAATAGATCTCGTAAAATATAAGTTATGGTGTATGGAGTTTAATTCAAATGTGTAAACGTACTCTATTACGAAAAATAAACAATAAATTCATCTTTGTTTTTATTACGATTTAAACACTAGGAAGTTGTATAATAAGCTAATCGAAGACAGTGTAAAATCCGGTATGAATGAGAATCGATCGAAGTTGGTACATTCAAGATAAGTACTTGGGTAAAGAAAATTAGCGAGGCGAGAGGTGAACGGGGTAACAACAATACTCACCAAAGTGAAAAGTTGATATTAAGAAAATAATTGGAAATGAATGAATAAGATCACACATTAAACGGTAAGGGATGAAATTAGGCTCGAAATCTAAGGGGGCGTAACGGATAAATACAACTACGTTATCACAATCGAATTTGAAGAATGTAGCTAAGCATCTTCAACCAGAAAGCTGACCCCTCTTCAGTACGACTTTGTCAGGTGTCAGTGACGTTACAAACGAGTTTCCTATTTCGGTTTGGTCACCTTTACCCTTATAATAACACATTCCTATGGTATCCAGTTAAAATTACATTCACCGGTCGTAATAAGTGACTGCAAGACATTGAATAACATCAGATTGAAAAACATAATTTCTCAGACGATAATAAAAACACAATGGTATACCACAAAGTCTTGACAAATTTTAAACTTACGACTTTGTAGTATGTAGATAATCTTCATATGAAACTCTACCGTCACAATCTTGGTCAAACTCTCTGAAAATAGTACGCAGTAGACCAGATGGTAAAGATGGTAAGTATCTACTCCATATTTTGTGTAAATCATTTATCATGACAAAGTCCTTTGAATTTAGATCTAGACAATCAAATGATAATCTGTTGTGTTTGTCAGTATGTGAAATGTTGTTCTGAAAATGTTTCTGAAGCATTTGGATAGAAGAAAGAAAACTGTTTACAATAAGAAAATAAAGAGTTTACAAACCCAGAAAATGTTAGACCGATTGGCTCACCATCGGGATTTGATTCAAAAAATGATAAAATACATTTCATCTCTTCCTTATTCGGTTTCCTTCCATAAAGTTCGATAAATAACAATTTACAGCCTTCTCTGTCCACGTAAAATCCATCAGAACTGCTATAATTACTAAAAACTTTATGCAAGAAATTGGACATATTAATGGAGTGGTTCGAATAAAGGATTTGATAAGGTTCAGCTAGCTGGTAAAAAACAGCTCATGAGGACTTCCTACCAGTCAAACATTATTATGGAAAAAATCTATAAAATAAAAAGATAGACAGTAATTTAGAGCACTAGTAAACTGAAACACAAGAAGCATAAACATAGAAAATCACTGGCATAATTCGTAACCATTTAAGAAATTCTTTAAACATGTTCATGAAATTGGACTTAATATCACTAAACAACGCTTATAATATAACTAGAATCGAACGGTTACAGTAAGCAGTCAAGCAGAATAACAAGTTCATTCGAACATATACTGATGATTTTAGACGTTCTTTCCAGGGACCTTTTGGTAAAGATTTCAGTAAATATTGCAACTACTTTGATTTTCACAAATTAACAACTTTGCAATACAAGACTAGTTAAATAAATGTGTAAGCTTATCACATCGTACGAATTTCTATAAATCTTTTAAGCCGCATTAAAATGAGTTAGATTGTACCATAAAATACTTTATGTTGTGGCTGACTGGACCAAAAGATTTATATTTTTAGGAACCCTAAAAAATAATAAATACACGATTTAGATAACTAGCATGCTGCAATCACTGAAAGATATTGTTTAAACTACAGTTCGGACAATTTTGTCCCGGTTTCTAGATATTATAGTAATATACTGTATAAGCATAGTTATAAAAACGTTAGTACTTTTAAAAACACATTTGAATAACTTCTTCCTCAGACTGTACAGTTATGAATCTATAAATACTGCACTATAAAAAAAATTGAAGTATACATACGAACATTCTGGTTGGATTTAAAATAATAGATTATAGGTTGGCGGAGTCTCAAATAATACCATGATGCTTAATTAGTAATGTTAAGAACGTTACACAAGAAAAGTAGAAATTATATGGCCTAAGGTAATGAGTCCTTATTAACAAATTAAAATCGTATGTAAAAAGTAGAAATGGTTGTGTCATGGTAATTGTGAAGATGATAGTAACAATATCTGTTAATAAGTATATTGTGTAAAATTAGAAAGATGGACGTATAATTAGGAATACGACAGTATCACAGGAAAGCATTACAAATCTATTCGTTGATGCAAGGTCAAACCTAATGATAAGTCACTGAAAAGATATACCTTGAGCCAAATTGAATTATATTGAACGTATGCCACTGAGTTAAAAAAAAGATCCCATAGAGATCATATACCACAGAAGATTCGCCTCAAAATTTAAAACATTCATAATCGAAATATGTTCAGGAATTAAAAACAACAAGGGGAATAAGGTAGGAATCAATCAAATCGAAGAACTAGGTAACCAACCATTTGAGCCTGACTTACCTAGCATTTGTAGCTGGTGTGCTTTTAAATTTTTTTTTTTTAGTTTGGACCTAGTAACCCACCTCAATTTGATTCTTATTCAAAGTTTTGTAATAAGCGTAGATATTAGAATTACTTGAAGACAGATTTTTAGTTGAAAATCTATTTATTCCAACACGAGGATAAGTAGTATTAACAGACTTCAATCTTGTTGGATTTTGATGTTGTATTCAGTCAATGTGAAGTCTGCTACGTCCGAACATGACCCTAGTTTCCAGAATCTTGTTTGATCATTCGTCAGAAGGCTAGTTTTATTTATTACCAATCTTATCGAAAAATTACAGTGCATTGTCTACTGCAGTGACCATAAAGCTTTCATTAGATTCTAATTTTCAGACGACCTTGATTTTCTGAGCAAACATGCTTCTTATGTGATGCTTGTTGCTTGTAAACTAATTGTAGCTGTTCATTAATGTGGTTTTGAATCTTTCTAGTTATAAATTTGTTGACCAAATCTTGTGTCTGGAAAAATAGATTCTTAAACTAAACGTTTGTCTGTACATAACTCTTCTCAAGCATATTTACACATATTAGAACTAGAAAATGTAAGAGATTGAATTCTCTACTTAAAGCAAAAAATAAAACATTTAAAGTAATGGGGTGAATAACTAGGTTTAACACTGTAGTAAATCTTCCTACTGCAAAAAATGAAATACAGTGGTTTCATTTAGTGGGGCAAACACCACAGAGTGAATTTCTGTCATCTATAAATTATTTGGTTTTCAGTTAAGATGTGTCAGTTTACAAGATATGAGTGAAAGTGGTTATCAGATGGACTTCAAGTCCTCAAACACTAATTAGTAGATTTTATACTACCCTTCAAAGAACAGTCCATTGGCCGAGTGGGAGCTTATGGCGAACTGTCATCACGGCTGTCCACTCTCTCCATTCTTGTTCAACTTTGTGGTCGACGTACTTTTAGAGATAACACTCTCCTCATCTAAATTTCCAGGGGTTGAACTTCTACCGGGAGGTTCACTTGTTGACTTAGAATATGCTGATGACATAGTTTTATTTGGTGAAGACGCTGACAAAATGCAGAGTCTTCTGACCACTTTAAGCGACAACGCAAGCATGTTCGGGATGCGATTCTCCCCCTCGAAATGCAAATTGCTGCTTCAGGATTGGGTTGCACTGACACCCGAACTAATGATAGGGAGTGAAGTAATTGATCGTGTCGATCACTTCACTTATCTTGGAAGTCTCATCAGCCCTTGTGGTCTGGTGTGTGATGAAATCTCAGCACGGATACAGAAGGGTCGACTAGCTTTTACCAACTTGCGCCATTTATAGCGTAGACGAGATATCCGTCTATCAACCAAAGGACGGGTTTACTGCGCAGCAGTTCATTTCGTCCTACTTTATGGCAGTGAAACATGGCCGGTAAGAGTAGAGGATATTCGTAGATTACTATTATTTGATCATAGGTGTCTTCGAAACATTGCTCGTATATCCTGGGACCACGGAGTAAGTAACTCAATTGTTAGGAAACGGGTACTAGGTAAGGATGGCAAATCAATTGATGAAGTGGTGAAACTTCATCAGTTGAGATGGCTGGAACACGTGTTATGTATGCCTAACCACCGACTGCCTCGATGTGCTATGTTTAACGGTGTAAGAGTAGGTTGGAAGAAAGATAGGGGTGGCCAGACCAAAACATGGTACAAGTCCATGAAGTCACTGACAAGTGGACTGAGTCATGTTGGTATGTGTAGACTACCTGGTTGAGATCCGCGAGATGATAGCAACCGATGGTTAGAGACCCTGAATGACATGGCTCAGAATTGTCTGCAATGACGCAGGTGCATCCACTCTTTGTGTTCTCCCAAATTCTAATCTCCTGAATCCTCCTTGTCTCTTTTTTTCCCTTTCCAGATTTATTTCACTGGATTATACTCCTTGAATAACATCTTAAAACCCTAATGTTTCCGATTACTGCTTATACTCTTACTACCTCTAGTACTACGGGATTTGAATCGACAACTGCATCTCTGTGCTAATGTGGTATGGCAACTTGAACTTATGTATGTGTGTACGAAGTTATATCTTGTTGCTGACTGACAGTCTATTGCTTGTTTGAACTAAAAGCAATTAAGATAATGGCAAAAGTTTATGATCAGACATATCGAATTTCCTATGGCAATGTAACAAAGGTGAAATTTTTTCTCGCTTTTGGGTTTGAAGTAATAAATAAATGAGTTCCTTTGTTTTTTTAGTGATTTATTCCACTGAAGAATCACAAAAGCGAAAGTGTTGCTCACACATGTATGCATATATCTGTATCTAGTTTCGATAAGGACCATATGAGCCACAGAGGCATTTTGTATTTTACTACGTACGTTTTCTAAACCAATTTGATAGAGTGATACATTGAGCACAATCTGAGGTTATAACAGTCAATGCTTAGATTTATGATGGAAGTATTAGGAAGTTGGTTGAAATAACTAAACATTCAGCGGCCATCCGGGTTTCTATGCAATAAAATATGGACGACATCTAATAGACTAACAACGAGGACTTTCGTAAACTATAGAGGCAGAGTTAATCGCATAAAATAATCCGAACTTAAAATTAGTTGTTAACAGCACACACGTCAGTGTATACTACGAATAATCCAGTCGAGAATTAGATGGGGTCGAATGGGTTTACATGAAGGCAAATAAATTAAAGATTTACAAATATATGATATATTTGTAATATCTCAATGAGTAGAAAATTAGATTTTCTGACGTTTCATGACTTAGTGTAAGTCACTTCTTCAGAGAATAAATGGAGTAATTTTAATTTGGTTATTTATTCTGTGACTGTAATTCAAAAAATAGTGCAAGGTTTACGTACGTATATGGAGAAAGTTTCTTAGTTCAAACGAGATACTTATTTGTATCTCACTTGTGCATTCGAACCATACATATGCAGTATTTCAAAACAATGGCATACTTGTTTTTCCGAAAACAACCCGGTTTTACTTGTTAATGTCTATCGTGCTTTTTCTATTTTCTACTTATGCAAAGATTAATCGCTGGCGGAATTCAAACATACGTTTTCAGCTTGATGAGCAGGCAACTGAAAGAAAATACTCAACAATACATAGTTATTTCACCAAGTAGTAATCCTCAAACTAAACAATCCCCCAGCTTACTGTTACCAACGTTACAGCGTACAATTTCAAAGAGGGAAAGCCCTTAAAACCCTCTCAAGTTCACGGTGCAATATCCAATACGTTAGTGGTAAACCCCAATCTCCCTGACCAGAGATAATAGAATTCTAATTCTGAAATCTCGAAGCCCTAGTAGCACAGAAAAATTCTCGCGTAAAAAAGACACAGTAGTGAACAATTCGATCACTTAGCTGGAAATACTGTTAGAATAAACCGTGTACAGATATACATATATTCTGGATTCATTTGGATTCTCACTTACTGAAACTGTCCAATTAAATGTACTGATTCAGCCAATCCATCAATAATAATAAATCAAAGGTCCTTTCACCTTGCCGTGTTGCTAGTTCAACGACACGATTACTTAACAAGCTAAATTAACAGAATGTTATATAAGCATTGAAAGAACAAATACAGATATATTCCTACAGTTTACCATGTGTAAAAAGCACGTCGGAATAACTTTGAAAGGAAAAACCAGAGTAAAATATCACCAATTTTGCAAGAATGAATTCTACGTTATATCTCCTCGTAATGTGAAATACCCAGTGCATATATACTCAAATGGCTCAAATGGTTGTGAACGGAATAGAAGAAGCTTACGCTTAACAGGCTTCCGTGTTTAGTAGCAGAGGATCACCAAATCCTCCAGGCAGGAACCTAGGTATGTTAACAATAAAAGAGGAAAAGAAATTGGTAAATCATAGTGTGATACTGTCCTTGGTTCTTAAGAATAGGTCAAGTTGCCTCTTAAAGGACTCCTGAGAAGTCGCTTGGACTAGGTCGCTCAGCTGCGAATTCCAGCATTTGACAACTCTTAAGGAGTAGAAGTTGTGTCTACATCCCGTCTTGCTATGTTGAGTTTCCAGTTTCTGGTTGTTACCCCTTAGGTTAGTGTTAGAACTAAGCTTAAGTGGGTGTTTGAGAGGATGTCCAGAAGTGTTAAGGATACTATAAGCCATCAGAAGGTCACCTCTAAAAGATCTATATTTTAATGGAAAAAGGTTAAGTGAATGGAGGCGCTCTTTGTAAGGTTTAAATTTGAGTCCTCGAACTGATTTCGTGGCTCGCCGTTGGATACGCTCCAGGGTGCCTTTATCCTTTTAAAGTGAGGGGGGAAATACTATGTTTCCGTACTCTAAATGGGGACGGATAAAACGATTGAAGATTGTTTGGAAAGTTCTTCCGTCAAACTGGCCAAAAATGCGCTTCAATGTTACCAGTGCAAGGTTAGCTCGGAAGGCATTTTTGTCAAAATTAGCGTAAGACTTTAAATCCTGGGGCACCAGGACTCCTAAATCTTTTTCGACTTGTGATACTACTAGAGAGGAGTTTCCTAAGTTATAACTGTAGTCTGCGACATGTCGCAGATGGACTACTTTACACTTTGAAGTGTTAAAGGTAAGTCCATTGTTATCTGCCCAAATTTGAAGTCGAGTCAGATCCTCCTGATGTGCCCGTATATCGTCTTGGTTGCGTATCTCTCTCCAAAGTTTCACGTCGTCGGCAAAAAGTAATAAGTCTGACGTTACCTGTTGAGGAAGATCATTTATGTAGATCAAGAAGAGAAGAGGCACTAATACTGAGCCCTGGGGGACCCCACTACGACATTCCATAGCCTGAGATAAAGTGAAATTAACTCTAACCTTAAAGTGTCGATTTTCTAGGTATGAAGTAAGCCAATCGAGAAGAGGTGGTTTGATACCTAGTCGTTTGAGCTTACTGACAAGACACAAGTGGTTAACTTTATCAAAAGCTTTTGCGAAATCTAGGTAGATGATATCAACCTTTCCCTTGCGATCGAGGATGCTTGTCCATCTATCCACCGCAGTCAGCAGGTTGGTTATACAAGAGTAACCCTTCCTGAAACCATGCTGTTGGGGTGAGAAGAAATTTAAGGACACTAGATAGTCGTTTAAACCATCGCATATCAGGGACTCCATGAGTTTTGAAGGTAATCACAGAAGAGCCACCGGTCGATAACTTGAAGGTTCATTGAGTCGACCCCCTTTGAAAATTGGTGTGATGTGAGCCAACTTCCAATTTTCCGGTAATTTGCCTCGGCTTAGCGAGTGTGAAAACATTACACTAAGCGGCGTTGCCAGGATTGAGGCTGCCTCCCTCAGTATGGCAGAATGAACCATATCCGGACCAGGAGAAGCATCTAGTCTTAAGCGCTGCAGTTTCCAGAACATCAAGTCAGCACTTAGGTCCACTTCGGAAAGTCCTGTGGAGTTGCAGATGAAACTGTCGTCAATACAGTTGATGTCAGCCGGTTGAAATGTCTGGGAGTATTGTTCAGCCAGAAGGTTAGCGGTGTCGCCATCGTTGTTGGTCGGGCCGTTAAGACCTTCCAGTTGGGGAACTCCAGTTTGGCTTGACGAAGAGAGGCTGCATAACGGAATAGGCTTTTAGAATTGGAGGCAAATTTGTCCATAAGCTTTGTCTGGTACTGAAGCTAATCTTCCCTTATAGCCTTCGTGTATATGTTCCTGATGTGTTTATATTGCTTGTACGCTCCGTCGTTGTCAGTTCGTTTGTATTCCACCCAACAGTGCCTTTTACGGCTTAGCAAGCGAAGGGTACTCTTCTTGATTATTGTGGGTGGCTTGCAGCTTTTGGGAACCGTTTGAGGAACTGAATGGTTTGTAGCACATAAGAGCGTGTGCAGTAAGAAGTTCCAATGACCGTCCACATCGAGTTGGGGGTGAACATCCCAAACCACCTGTTGTAGATAGTCATGTAGAGCTGGCACATTCAGCCGTTTAAAATTCCAACGCAAATTATAGTTGGGATACCTTAGCTTAGTTTTGATGACAAAACTGAAGGCTATGACAGCATGATCGCTCTTCCCCAGAGGAGCTAGGATTGAGAGGTTGTCAACCAGGAATTCTTCGTTTGTGAATACACAGTCTAAGCGCGATGGTATCTGACGGTTTCTCCAACGAGTTGCCGTTCTCACATTTTCATATAAGCCCAAGTCATCGATAAGGTTGAAGAACCGAGCTTCAATTGAGTTGTCACCTCCAGTGTACGTGTGTTCCGCGAAGTTGACTCTATGGAGATTAAAGTCCCCTAGAATCAGGATGTGTGTGAAACCGAGACGGGTAGAACGGGATAGTCCTTCCAGCATACGACTATCGTACTCGATGTCGGCAGTTGGCTTCCTGTAAATGACTCCGACTAGACACCTCGAAGTACAGGACAATCTTACAAAGCACCATATGGATTCCTCAAGATTGTTAAACTCGAGGTTGTGAACTTGGTTCACCTCCAAGCAAGAGCTTATGTATATGGCTACTCCGCGCCTAATTCCTGTTATTCTGTCGTTGCGGAACAAAGTCATCCCAGGTAATGCTAACTCTTGGTCCGAGAATTGAGAAGATATCCAGGTTTCAGATATTCCTATCAAGTGGGCTTTATTAGCATTGCTAAGTTCACGTAATTCATCCAGTTTGTTTGTTAGACTCGCGGCGTTCATATATAAGCAGTTTATGCTTTCAATTTGGAACGCGTGAGCTTCGTCCTGTTTTTCTGTATGAGCCATGTGGGTTGCAGGTGGCAATCGACGTCTGTTGGCACGAAATGCTTTCAGAACTGCAGCCGCTATATGGGAAGATGGGAAGGTTATCTTTATTAGACGGGGTCTAGAATCACCAACCTTCTTGGCTAGTCTCGTCACATGCTGGATCAATATGTTTTTGAGTTTCAAGTACTGTTTGATGAATTTCCATTCCTTGATGTCAGAGTTTGTTTGAGTAGGGTCCGTATTTTCCAGTATATCCTGTACGATTATATTCCTCTCGCGGAAAAACTGATCGCGAGTTTCTTTGAGGATATTCCGGATGAGACAGGGCTCAGAATATGGTATGTCAGGCAGTATTCGACAATGTCACGTCAAATAAGTGAATACTAAGATCATATAGTCAACGAATCTATCATGTAATGATGTAAGTTTTAGTAAAAATACGTTTATGCTGTGAATTTTTATTCATCATATCAGACTGTATTACAATAAACAAGCGTATTACATGATGGAATGATATCTCAAGTATTAGAAAAATCAATAGTAATTGTGTTTTTTTCGAAGTAGATTGTCACTGAAATATAGTGAAAGGTTTGAAGCTAAGTATAGTTTCGAGTTGTTCAGTGAACCATGTTATGATGTAAAATGGTTGTAAAATTCAGTCTTGAAAAAAAAACATCGCTTATGCTTTTTTGGTACGTTTTATTAGCTTATAACTTGCTTATGGAGTTTAAAGACCTAATTACCTATACTCTGCCACATTAAGTAACATGCCTTTTCAAAGGAGTTATTAATTACGACACCTACTTTGTTTAGTATATTGTCTGTTGTACAATTTATTTTAGTCTATACAATAGTCGCACTTGCAATATTTGATGCGGCATATAAAATTAGCAACTTGAGTCACTTAATTTTCGACAGTGTACTTGAGCGTCAAATTTAGCAAACGATAAGTGTGAGATATTTCGGTGTAACTAGCTCCCGGAAGCTAAAGCTTAGAATTTCTGCACTACAGGAAAGTCAGGCATCTCTTTCTAATACGTCATATTTATTATATTTCTTGGGCCAGTGAAATGTTAGCAAGCCCTGACCAAATCATCTAGCAGTTGAGTCACTGAATATCGAACCGATCATTAATCGCTGTCATGGTCAAGGATGACCAGTGCGCATCAGTTAATCGTTCGCCACGGACTGTGACATGCGTTGGTTGTCTTAGTTTTGCTTGTATCTAATTTAAGTAATATAAATAGAGCCAGAACAAACATTGATGCAGAATAGTATGAATCCATATTATTTTGAGGTTTCTCGTCAGCTGCTTACAAACCAAAATTGTGATAGAATTTTTTACATGGAGATAGTGTGAAAACAATTGACATAAATGAGTGTAAATAACTGGATTACAATAATAAATATATATATGCTAGAAACAGGTCAGAGGTCAAAAGAGGGGGGTTAATTCAGGGTGGGTGGTGTAATAAT